AAATAAAAATATTGCATTGACAAACGAATTACGAGCCACAAATGGAAAATAAATTAAATTAATTATTTTCCAATTTATCTCGAATTGTTCTGCGTTTTAAATGGAATTTTTCAAGATCTAGGATAAATAGAGGGGGAAAAAGCTTAAAACTTCCTTCAGGTGAATGTAATTGGATTAATTTGCATATTTTTATTATTCATCACACGTCACGCGAACATACACGTGCATTCCGAAAGAAAGCTATTTCGTTTTAGTCGCGAAAATTTTTCTCATTATCGTCGCAGTTCCTTTGAAGCATAACAATTTGTTTTTAAGAGCATGCAGCCTTTGAATGTATTTGAAGATTAAAACATTAGTTTTATGGAGTCAAAGAAAATTTATAATGAATTGATGCTTGTGTGAATGCATCAATGATATTTGTAGAGTAATTTAAATACGTTTCATGAACATGAGTCATGCTCTGATGGGTTTAAGTGATGAATTTAAGTATCGCCTAGAGAGTCATCAGGAAAAGTGTCCCTGAGTCTACTTAAACAATTCTAGAAATTAAACGTTGTGTACACCGCAACCTAACCTCTACGCTAAAGCTTAATTTCCAATTCTATCCACAAATAAATATTTAAAACACAAAAATGGATTTTATGAAAAATTATTTAAAATAATTTTATTTTGTCATTTTGCAGCCTAACAACAGCACAATCAAAATTCATCAAGTGCACAAATATTTGATAAATACAAAACATCCACAAATAATCAGCTTATTTATCTACAAAACAGCGGTTAATAGAATTTTTTTTTTGGTATTTGTATAAATGTATTATGTCCCACAATGTTTTGCGTTTGTTGCTGTCATTTGATAATTCATCAATTTAATTATTTAGAGGTAATTCTATGAATAAACTTCATGCTGTGCAATAGTTTTTAAACAATTAGCAGCTTTCATCAACAGGAAACACTCTTTTTGAACATTTATTCCATTTATAACAATTAAGTATAATAATGACAATGATCTGAGTACCGACCATTCCAACAATAAATAAAGTCATCAAACATAGGAACCTAAAGCTTTCATCTTTAATACAAAGTTCCAAAAGATTTTCACACTCCGACCATAAATCTTTAAAACTTTTACTACATATTGTAAGATATGCATCCATTTCTGTATAAATTTTAAGTTTCTTTGGTAGATCATTGGACTTGATGTCGTCCCTTAAGACGCTTATCCTTGTTACAAAGATTTTAGCATGCAGCATCAGGTCAAATCCTCCCAAGCATTTTGATATATTTTTAAATGAATTTCGAAGTTGGAATGTGAAAATGAATTTTGTTCCTTTATTTCCAGCTTTAGAGACCATTGCTGCATCAGAAATTAACTCGCCAGTGCTTTTGTTGTAGAAAAATATCTTCTTGGCTGAAATAGTCTTTGTTCTGATAGAAAAATAGTCAATCATGTAAATGTCGACAGCTTTGTCTATTATGAGTGAATTTACTGATCCTTTATATGGATCCACTTTGTAATATACTTGAAAGGAACGATCTGTGGAACTTATATTCAAAAAACTAAAAAATATATTTGGCTTCATTGTGTTTACAATGGAAATGCTGCACATGCTTAGCAAAATTGTTAAAAGCTTCATTTTTAAAAAATAGTTTAAAGTGTTAACTTCTGCAAATTTTACCTTGTTGGTCTCAAAGGACTCACTCTGTTCGAACTTCTTCTAGATCGACTGATTAAAATTACAAATAATTTTATAAAGTTTGTTGCCAATACAAATCCACCGACCATAAATATGACAATTAAGTACGCAATATTATTATCATGACAAAAATCGACATCTCCTTCACAAAGTGTCTCAAAATCCTGATCCTTTTTGTTACAGATAGTAAATCCGCATCAATCCGTGAATAAAGCTCAGGTTCTTTTGGTAAATCTTCAATTAATTTCGCATTTATGATGTAAAGTTTCCCATAAAAGTTTGAATCTGTTTTCTTCCAGCAACCAAAAATCATCTCAAATGAACGCTGAATTCTGAACTTAATTATTGACTTTACTGTGCCATTGTTTCCAGTTTCCAGCATTAATGAAAATTCATTTATCAAAAATCCAGTCTTTTTATCATTAAACAAAATTTTCCTAGTGAAAATACTTTTTTGCTCCCTTGAATAATAATCAACAGTTAAAATGTCAACGTATTTATCTAAATTAAGAGGAAGTGATGCTCCTTTCTGAACATTGAATGTGTAAACTATTTTTGTAAAACGATCAGCTTCAGTTATATTGAGAAATGTTATGTAAACGTTTGGTTTAAACGCGCCCACGAATGAAAGTGTCAAAAAATTTACAAAAACTTCAATTAAAAACATGTTTCTTATTATTCAGGAACAATGCTTATGATTCTAAATCCAATACTTTATTTAAATGAATAAGAAAATAAATTAAATTGCTTCCGACATTCTTTTAATTTCCTTAAAAAATAATCAAACTAAAAGGAGTTTTTAATCAAATATAAAGTCTTTATAGCTATCCAAAGTTATTAATCGATTGATCATTACCACGCAGTCACCATTATGAAAATTAAAACTTCTTACATTCCCATTTCATATGAATACTAATGTATGAACAAATTAGTGTCTTTATTGTGTTAAATTAATCTGTTTCGAATCAATTATTGAGAAATCAATGTCAATTTAGATAATAATTGATTGTGTGGGATAGTTTCAATTATAATCAATTGAAGGATATATTCTTTATGGAAAATTGAAGGTCATGAATCAAGTATAGTTTCAATTGTTTTTGCTTTAGAAAATTCTGGAAGTAATGAAATTCATTTAATTAAATTACAATGACGTTTTCTTTCAGCAACTAAAATTGATTTTTGATGACTGAATGTTGAACTTAAGAATTGAATTGACTGTGTTATTATTTCCAAGTTTCATTAACATTGAGAAGTCGTTGATCAGAATTCAAGAAGGAGTTTTATTACTAAAGGAAATTTTTATGATGTAAATACTTTTTTAGTGACGTGAATAATATTCAACCATAAATGTGTCAACTTATGTGGCTAAGTTAAATTGAACCGATACATTTTTATGAAAACCTAATTTATAAACAGCTTTCAAAAATTGATTAGACTTAGCTATGTTGATAAATCTCATGTAAATGTTTGGATTTAACGTACTTACTATGTAAAATGTCAATATATTTATAACAACTCTAATTAAGAACATGTAACTTTAATCCTTGAAAATCAATGTTTATGATTCTAAATCCAATGTTTTACTATAATCAAGGTTATTTTTTAATTTACTTTTAAAAAAATCAAAACAAAAGGAGGAATGGAATAAAACTAGGGAATCAAAATATTTCGAGTCTATATTTAGATATTTGTGTTCTTTTTGTTTTGTTTCAATTTTTGAGGATTTAATGTGGTTCTTAACTATTTATGAATTAAAACTTCATATAGTTATTGGTCTCATACGACATAAAGATCACCAGAAATCAATTTGTAGCTATAGGAAAATCAAAATTTGTGAATATTTTTATATTCACACCGTTTTCACGTGTGAATCTATTGGTTTTGTTCAGATTGAAAAATCAGTTTTTCGCATTTTGTGAGAAAACAAAGCAAAATTGGTTATAAAAGGGCAAGAAGAAAAGTTTGTGCCTGAAATTTTACATCATTTTCAAAAAACAGATTTCAAATTGGTTGTGGCATTGCTGAGAAAATCGCAAAATACGCTTTCTGTAAGCAAACAAGCAAGCAAGCAAGCAAGCAAGCAAGCAAGTTAATCAGCAAGAAATCTCAATAACGAGACATCGTAGAGACTTCTAGTTTTTTACATTTGATCCGTGCTGCTCTATAGAAGAGCTGTATTGTTTTTGGGCAAGGTAGGAACAGTCGTTGCTTCAGAAAAAGCAAAAAACTTCCCTTTCTTACGAATTTTTCGAAACAAAAGTTGACTGTGATTTTTACATAATTAAACTTTAGATGAAAAAAAAATTTAAAAATCTTTCAAAGAATGTTCGTCAAGCTTTATACCAGACTACCGTCATTTCATATAACATCCGTTAAATTTATATTCAAAAAAATTCAAATTTTTTATGGCCGTTATAATATTCAAAAATTTTTGACGGTTAAACCAGATTTTACCATGCACTTACTCATTTTGCTCAAATTTTATTCTTAATAACGTTGAGAATGGATAAAAAAATATAAAATTAATAATTTATGAAGAACTTTGGGATTTGTGCAGAATTGGTATTAATTAAAATAATTTATTGTTTACATAATGCAACTGTTTTTTGAAATTTGAATTTTCGGCACTAATGTCGAAGAAATCGAATTTAATTTCGAAGAAGTCCGAAACGAAATGGCGGTAGTCTGCTTTATACCTTCAAACTTATGCTGAGCGAAGCTTAGCTGCCTCTCTAGCTTCATATCTTCAAACTTATGCTGAGCGTAGCTCAGCTTACGCGATAGCTTTATAACTTCAAACTTATGCTGAGCGAAGCTTAGTTGACTTATCAAGCTTCATCCCTTCATACTTATGATGGGCAAATCTTGGTCTATCCATAAGACTTATGATAGTACGGTGTGAATATAATCCGCATTGGGTTTCTACCCGATACACTAGTTAATTTTAAAATGTAAATTTTTTAAAAACTTGTCATTTTTTTAAAGATCATGAAGATTTCTTCAAATCTCGCTAAGGTCTAAAAGTCAAAATAAGTTGATCTTTCAAATATTCCCGTAGAATAGCAGTAGAATAGCCTTAAAAGAATAACAATGAACTCTAATAAACTGAAAAATTTAAAGTAATAAAAAAAGTTAATTTTTTCAACATTTAACAGCTTTTAATTGTCTTATTAATTTTATTCCAACATTTATTCAAACATCTAAGTGAATTAATGACAAAATTCTGTGAAATGAAACTTTAATATTGAAAAAAAAAAGATTCAGCATTAGCCTTACACAATTGCTATAAACTTCATATTAAAATCACAACTGCAAATCGTGCATTATTATATTCAAAGGACTGACTCTGCTTGATCTTTTCATAGGGCGACTGAATACAAATACAAGTATTTTTGTGAAAGTAAAAGCCAATAATAATCCAGCGACCATGAATATAACGTACAAGTAAGCAGGAATATCATACAAACAAAGTTCGACATCTTGCTCACAAAGTGTCTCAAAATCACGATCATAGTTGTTGCAAATAGCGAAATATCCAATAATTCGAGAAGAAATCTCAAGTTCGCTTGGTAAATCTTCAGGAGCTTCAAAATCTTTCATCGCTATTGTATTCATGACATAAAGCTTTCCATTGTAGTTTGAATTATTGTTCTTCCAGCAACCAAAAATCATTTGAAAAGACTTTTGAATTCTAAACTTAAGAATTGAATCAACTGTGCTATTATTTCCAGGTTCCTCCATTAAAACAAAGTCATCGATCAAATTTCCAGACTTTTTATCCATAAAGAAAATCCTTCTTGTAAAAATATTGTTATCTTCCCGTGAATAGTAGTCAACCATCAATATGTCAACGTATCTATCCAAATTAAGTTGAATTGATGCCGTTTTATAAACGTGTAGTTTATAAATTATTTTTGTGAATCGATCAGCTTCAGTTATGTTGAGGAAAGGCATGAAAACGTTCGGACTTACATTTATTGCACCTACTAAAGAAAGTGCTAGGAGATTTCCAAAAACTTTAACTAAAATCATTTTTCTTATTATCCAGGAACAATGTTTATGATTCTGAATCTAAAACTTTACAGAAAGAAGAATAAGAAAAGTATAAACGCAATTGCTTCTGGCTTTTCATTTTAACTTCCTTAAATAATAATCAAAGTAAAAGGAGTTTTTTAATCAAATAATAAAACATTGCATGCGTCATAACTTCTATTCATTTATTTTTTGATTGCCTATTATCATACAGTCACCATTAGCGACTTTATTATTAGGCATTAATCTATTTCAAGAAATCTGTGTCAATTATGGTATTAATAGCTTAGTGTGGGAGTTATTTTTTCTTTTATTGAACTTTCTGGATGAAATGAAATCTATTCCTAGAAATTATTATTATTTATTTGTCGACGTTACCGTCCGGAAGAATTAGTATTTATACATGTTTTACTTTTTACATTGATTAGTGATACATTTCATATCACTATGGGTGACGTAGAATCAAGCTTCTAATCTTCAAATCAAGGTTTCGATTAAATTCAGGCTCTCGTTTCAATCTTCTGTGGGCGTGACGTGATACATTTCAGGTCCGTTCTGACAATATTCCATTATAAGGTAATCTTGTAGCTCTCGTTCCTATTTCTCCCGCTACACCTCAAGTTCCTGACTCGTTCCTTAATCCAACGTTGCCCAAAATGCCCAATTATGGCTTGATCTCGTACATTAAGCAGTCGAAGTATCTAAACTTCCGAAAAAGATCAAATTGGAAATGGCTGGATTCGAACCGACGACCTTCGAGTTACCATACCAAATTTGAGCCAAGCGCCTTACCTGTTCGACCAGCAAGGCACTTAACTGCTTTACACTTTATCGAATGAACCTAACTGCCGAACTACAAAGAGCTTAAATGATGGACATCATATATGAATGATCCTTTTCTGTTTCGATCACTTAAACCAAAAGCTTCTCCAAAACTTTTATATTTTTTCATGAGTTTTCTCGAAATTATCGAACTTTCGGCCATAAAATAAAGAAATCTAACAAAAGAAGCATAAACCATTACTCAAGTCAACTTATTGTCCTTCCCCTAAAAGCCATAACTCTTGTCAAATGACTTGAATGAAAAGAAGAAAATTTAAAAGAAAAATGCATTTTATCAATTGGACCCTTATAAAAATGAAAAATACCTCCAATAAACTAAAGTGCTCGTCGTTGATAAGAAGAATTTCGAAAGTAACAAAAGAAAAGCACAAAATCAAAAAGAAGGTATAGCTTCTTTTGTTAAGTCTTACACATCCATAAATAAAAAAAACTTTCGACAAAAGCAAAAGAAAAGTTTTCTTTTAATCCCAATAGAGCAACAAACTTTAATCTTTTAGCTTTCACAATTTCCCAGTACCGTAGTTTCCTCCAATCTATGTGATAAGTTTATGTTCCTATACATTTTAATGTTATGGAGGTTAATTTTCTTGAAAAATGTATTAAATGATGTGAAAAAGAATTTTTTTTTCGTTCCTCATCATCTACTCTGAAATGCAGAGTTGTGACACAGGTTGTCTGTCACAGGGTCATGTGACAGATCTGTTAAAGGAAGGGTCACATGTATTGCATGTCTACAGACACTGCATGTCACAGGTAACTCCTTGTCAAAGGGAAGACTGTCAACAGGCACTGCCTGTGAGAGACAATATTTTTTTTTGGCAGACAGTGCATGTTAATAGGATATACCGGTGACAGATCTGCTACCTGTACCTGTGACAAGTGACCTGTAACGCATCTCTGCTCTGCATTCGATGATTGGAAATAAAATATTGAAATTTTACCTATTGAACATTTTTCAGCATTAAGAAGCGTTGTTCATTGTTCATTGATATTTAGTTCTAAAGAATGAGGAAGAAAAGAAACGAGAATGCACAATAAAAGTTTCATTTCTTATTCATTTGATTTTTCTCTGATGTTATTTTTTGATGACTCTGATTGGTAAAGTTTGTCGTTTTGGCTTTTAATGTCCCGAATGGCACAAGTCGGTTAATCGAATAGAAATCCGGTGCCCAGTCGACATGACTCTGGTATGGGCAAGCTTCAATTTAAATCCAGCACCATGCCAGAGTCACACCAGCTTTGTGCTGGATTTCTGATCGATTAACCGACTTGTACCATTCGGGTATGGGTTTAGTAAGAGGTAATAGCATAGTACAGATAGGGGCCGTTCACTTATTACGTTACGCAAAAAAACGACTTTTTTCACCCCCCCCCCTCCCCCCCTTGTTACAATATGTTACAACTCACAACCCCCCCCCCCCCCTGAACGTTCATAATTTATTTTATTTTGATAATTTTTCATAAATCATTAAAAAGGTGGAAAATTTAAAAAAATGTTTTTGGTGTGAATTTGTAAACAAATTTTTTTCGTGAACTTTTTTTAAAACTCAGACGACAGTTAGAACGTTACATACTTCTTGACACCCCCCCCCCCCCCTATGTTACATTTTGTTACAATTTTTCAAACCCCCCCTCCCCCCTAAAATGCGAACGTAATAAGTGAACGGCCCCATAGGAAATTGAGGAACTTTGTTATAAAGCGTAGTCTCAAGAAGGGTGTGATTGGGATTGGACCATTTAATTTTGCTTAGAGAATTAGAAACTGCTAAAATTCTTAGCTAAGATCCAAAATTTAATCTCCAGAAAATTTCGTAAAAAATTAACAAAAAGTTTCAATTTTCAGATGTTTTGCAGCTCAAATGAGTATCTAAAGTCTGTGAGAACCTTAACTTTTTGAATTTTCAAAAGCTTCCGACTAAATCAGTTCAGCTTCTACTTACTACTATATACTTTTCTCAACAGCGCCTTAAAGCAGCAAAATATTGACAACCAAACTGTTTTCTACATTTTTTCCAACTCAGAATAGAAAGGAATGTGAAAGCAAATGCCTCTTTTGGGGATTAAATGGAAAGATTTCAACAACGAAGCACTCCCATAAGTTACCGTAGTAAAATTTATTTCCTTTTTTATTTAAAAAAATTCCTTTTAATATTTTCTGTCGGAAGATATTATTTAATTTTATAGAAATTTGTTCGAAAAAGTTTGACACATTTGAGGCATATTAAGGTAGAGTATTAAAATTTTATTTCTGCCTGTCAAAAATATTTTCTTTTACGACACCTTCTGGCAGTAAATTATATTATGCTTAACTTTATTTCAAACCTTATGAACTTATCAACAAAATAAAAAACAATTTTTCAAGTAAATTTTCATAACAGAAACTATTTTTGCTATGCTTTACATATGCTTACAATTAGGTTACAATAGGTCGACTATATAATAATGGTATGAATAGTTTAAGAATAGATATGAATATGTGACTTTAAAAGTTTTGGGATAGAACACAAAGGTAAACAAATTGTGGAATATTAATAACTTAACAGCAGATGTATTTTGAATTGTTTGCTGTTTTATTGAACTTAAAAGCAGAGATTTGTTAATCGAGCTCTGTCTTAGAAGACAAAGTGAGGTAGCAAGGAAGAGGACTGATTAGGATAGCTCAAAATGGAAATTCACAATTGATTTCTCTATTTTGAATAATATTCTAAAGTAGCACAAATCGGATAATCGAGACTAATCTAAGCTAGGGCGACGTAGGCACGACGAAAGTTCGCCTTAAAGTTGCCGTGAGGTCTTCCTGGATTTCCGGATTTCATCTCGATTATCCGACTTGTGCTACTCGAGATTGCCACAGTTTAAAATTTTAATAATTGTACAATTGATCGACTAGAGCTGTTAATCAATCGGAGCACTTGATTGTGGGAAAAACTAATAGGAATAGTTCAGGCTACGTCTCTGACCTTAGTTATTAATTTAATTGCTTCAACCGACTATCCAATAAAGCAGTGTTGTACAAACTTTTCTCAGTCATGGCACAAATTTCTGTAATTTTTGGGATTTCTAATATTTTTCCACAGCACACCTAAGGATGTCCTACGGCACACCATTGTGCCACAGCACACAGTTAGGAAGACAATGTAATAAAGCAATTAAAAAAATCCTATAAATCAATTCCCATAATTACAGAGCACAAGACTAACAAGATAAAAAAATGTTAAATAACATCTCCATAAATCCTTCCATCCTTAAATCACTTAAAAACACTAAAAGCTGACATTTTAATTTAACTAATAGCAACAGAGTCAAGTGATTTTCTCTCATACTTTTAAAACTTTCCTTTAGTCTCAACTTGATCCTTTAAGTAGACATAAAACTTTCCGATGTAATTCTTGTTCTTCACAGTTCATTATAATCAAACAACTTTATTGGATATTTTTACACAAACTATTCCACAAGAGATCATAGAAAATACTTTTTATGTCAAGAAATCCTGTAAAAGTTGATTAAAATTGGATAAGTTTAAAAGTTAAAAAATTGAAATTTAAATTCCATCGAAATGCCATTAGAGAATCAAGAAGCACTCAAGCGATACTGTTCAATAGCTTTTAACAATAAATAAAATTCTCAAAGTGAATCGCTTGAAAGCATTGTTGTTACCATGAGATTTCAAAACTGCTCTACATCTTTTCTCGAATTTTATCGATATTTTTTTGTTGTTGATTCATTTTATTAAAAGTGACAATGTTGTACAGTAAAATGTAATTCATAGTATATGGAGTGTACTCATTGGATGTATGCAATTGATTATTTTTCATTTCTTGTAAGTTCTTCTTTTTCATTTTAACCGAACGAAATGATGCATACTGAAGAATAATGGTAAGACTCAATGGTGAAACAATGACTTGGATTTTAAGTAGTTTGAAGTTGAAGTTTTTTTTTTGCAAAGTAATTTTTACAAATGTGAGATTTGTATCAAGAAATAGGTCAGCTGTCGGATTTTAAGTGCTTTTTTGGATTATTATTCAGTACAAGGATTTTTTTTTGTGAATTTTATGGGATTAAAGTTTTTTGTGAAGCAAGCAATTTAAACAGCAAGAATATAACTTTAAACAATCTAAGATGTTTTGGGTCAAGTTTTGAGGGTGTCCGGGGTACCC